TTAATCCCTCACTGGGTGCCATCTTTCATCACAGCCTACCATGTGTATATTATCCTCTACAGAACACTTCCCATTAATATAATAAGGGCTGCCAGAAGCACTTAGCCTTGTGAGCCTGTGTGAGATATGGTAGATGATACTTTGTGTGCAGTTTCTCCCTTACACGTGCATATACATACACACACAGCAGACTTTGCCCGAGGAAAGAAATAAAACCCGCTGTTCTGAGTGCAAGAGTGTCTCTCTGTAAAACTTCCACAATTTATCTCAGGCCCAGTATACCAAAGTGACTCTCGCTGCTGCTTTCTCTTCCGGGAGCTGTCACTCCTCAGATCCTATCCATCTGGGCTGGCAGGAGATGACTTGGCAGGTGTCTGACCCGCACTGCATGTGAGATAAGAACCATCCACAGAGCCACTCTGCGTTTGGAAATGAAATGTCAGGCTCGGTATCGAGTCAGCCCTGATATGGAGATGCAATCATAGCTGGGGTATTGTCAACACAAGAGCTGATGAGGTCTTGTTTAGACAGATGTGGTGCTTGTATGACTGGTGTGTCCAGACTTATCAATCTAATATGGAAAGGAGCTGTAGGCGAAGGGAGGAGTGTAGCTGCTTTTGATTAAATTAAAAACAAAGTTCAGTTTTTTGGGAAGTAGGCTTATTCTTACCTTGGATAAGACTGATACTCACATGCCGGCTAACTTAACTTTAGTGTTTAATATGCACAAAAACCAAGGTATAAAAAAAGACCTTTTTATGAGAACTTATATATCAGACTGTTTTTGGCCAAGACCAATAACTTCGTTGGGTTTCTGCAATTTGCCTTTTTAGGTTACCTGCTTTCCTCATTTTCATTTAATTAAGAAATATTTTATACAGTCCTATTCACACACTGTGAAATAAATCCCCTCTAAGAGATGCAAAGGCAGTATTGGAGGCTCATGAATGAATAAAATGAAGATGGTCTAAATGTAATCCAGCTTCCCACAATTCATCTCTGAACTCAGTCATTAATTTCCTACATGGCATCCAAATAGAGAATCCGTCAACCTGTTCCCCTTGAGTTTAAATCATAAACTTCCTTACAGCATTGGACAAATGGACCTTTCAGTAACATACAGTGCATTTAAAAGAAATATGACTCCAAAACATGCAGTATTTACTGATGTGACATTTGATTAGAAGCATTTAGAAGAACTGCCTTTATGTCAAGTCCAAATTGTTGCTGGCAGGTGCCTCAGAGTGCACTGTTGGGACAAAGCTGGGCTAATTTTCAGTAGCTCTTTCACTAAGCCTGACAGTACATGAGGGGAATGATGACGGCATAACCTGTGGTTTGTTAAAAAGGGGAATGCAGGGTTTAGTCAGGATTTTTCCTCTTAAGATGGGGACGCTGATAGGGTTTAGGAGGTAGACTAACATGTTGACCAAATAGAAGGGGCTCGTAGTTTGATTTGGCTTCTCTTTGTCATTACGTGTTTGGGGTGGCGATGTTTTAGCGTGATAATGAGCAGACAGATGAAGAGTTTTATTTGTGTCTTGTGGATTTGCTTGTTTATTTAGATTTTTTTTTGTGTGTGTTAATAGTATGAGTCGGGTCACCTCAGTTTTTACTGCAGAGTTGATAGAGATGAAAATTTCAGCACGGATACTGTAAGTTTGTTAATATATTTTAGGTATAATCTACTGACAGTCTATGTTGTACTCCAGATGGATTCATGTTTACAAAGATATCTAAAACTCAAATAAGGGATTACTTGTTTTTTCATCAGTCTATATGGATAATATACTCACACAATTATGAGGTTTGAGCATAATACATTCTTTTAATTCAGTTCCAAGTGCATTTACTGTGCACAAGTTTTACTGATTGAGATTATAGAATGCACATGTAAATTTGACTTTCACATGCTAAAGATCAAATAATTGTATATTTTCCTGCTCAGACCATCACATTGCAAGGACTCAAACATGCTAATAAACCAAAAACCTTGATTTCCTTTTATCTGACTGTATAAATAAACTTTTCAGTGAGTGCCTCCTTGTCGGTTGATGAGCGTCTTTATTTTTACCAATGGAGTTTGGTTTATTTTGAGTCTTGGCATCTGAAGCAACTCCCGAGTCATTCATCTGGAAGCTGTGACCCTTCAGAAGAATCAAAGTGAGAGAGTGCAGTGGTTTCTTTCCTTCTGGTTTGTTTTTCAGACTCCTTTCAAAATGAACTGGGGTTTGGAGCTGGCTGCTTCAGACATGGTGTGGTAGTGGGGATGGAGAGAGAGGGAGCAGGGTGAAGAAACATGCAAGAAGAAATGAAAAATAAAACAAATGTTCTACTGCTTCAGACTGTTATTCAGAGTGAGCTACTTTAGGCCAGGAAATATAAGCAGTTTTTGTTTGATTATGATGCAACTTTAAGCACTGAGGTTTCAATAGCACCAGTTACTTTTAGTGTATTATAAATTACCCTGTTATGCAGCAATACATCTTCAGTCATGAAATAACTGGGTCTGAGAAAAGTACGTAATTCAGGGGCATTCTGACTGCTGCTATAAAATTTCAAGTTAAATGTAACCAGTTTCAAGCAGTCAACTTCAGAAATAATATTGCTTTTCCTGTTGAAAAGTTGACTTCATCAGCAGTAAAAACACCCTTCCTAACTTTTAATGCACTCAGGGGTTTTTGCTAGTACAGCTTTATTCGCTCTGTTACAACCAGCAGCTGATAGTGGCTAATATTAGCTACAAGCTACAGTATGTAGCTTTTTTTCAAAACTTGTCTTAATGTGGAGAGGTGCTGTCGAAGTCTCCTGCGACCCAGTCTCATTAAAAACACCACTGGAAGCAGTGCAGAGACATTAGCTTCTAAGAGGTTTTGAGCAGGATTGATCTCTCTAACCAGTCAGAGATTTTCAGTTATTTCTACTTGATCAGTAATTTTTGTTGCATTCTCATTTCTTGTAATGACAAATATCCCAAGAGCTACAGTTACATTTCTGAATCTGTTTGATGGCCTTGACTCTTTGTGACATGTGCTACTGTTTTGCTGTGATTTTTCATGTAGCACCTGTTTAAGCACAAGTTACATGTTTCAACCATCTTGTCAGTCTCACTTGTATTGAACATTAGCAAAACCATTTTATAAGCATTGGTACTATTTGGAGCCATTGTCTATTTTGGCTAGTTGTTGAGTGGGGTGCTTTTCCAGAGATGAGTGCCCATTGTAAGAATAGCAAACCTGCTAACAGCCCCTGTTTCCCAAAGTTGCATGTTGGCACAAAGATGCTATAACATATCCAGCATGAATGTGAAGGTAAAATGATGCTTTTAGGAGGCAGAAGAATGATTTGATAGAACTGATGCTGAAATTTGTGATGCCAAGCCACAAACAAACAAGTGGCATCCTGCATCCAAATCCATTCATCTAACATGTGATCACCTTTATTCAATTTATTGGAGAATTCCAATTATATTAATTCATGTTAGCCACCCCAGCCACCCTGTGGAGAAAAGCTAATTTCGGCCGCCTGTATCCAGGATCTGGCCCTTTCAGTCATGACCCAAAGCTCATGACCATAGGTGAGAGTCGGAACGTGGATCGACCAGTAAATCGAGAGCTTCGCCTTACAGCTCAGCTCCTTCTTCACCACGACGGACCGGTACATCGACCGCATTACTGCAGAAGCTGCACCAATCTGCCTGTCGATCTCCCATTCCATCCTTCCCTCACTCGTGAACAAGACCCCAAGATACTTGAACTCCTCCACTTGAGGCAGGAACTCTCCACCAACCTGAAGGGAACAAGCCACCCTTTTCCGACTGAGAACCATGGCCTCGGACTTTGAGGTGCTGATTCTCATCCCAGCTGCTTCACACTC